TATATATATATATATATATATATATATATATACTTATGTATATAATATGCAAATAATACAATTCTTTCTAAAGTTTGAAAATCTAATTTTTGAAGATAATAGTTTAGAAGTTTTTTTCTGAAACGTCCCATTTTGGTGTCAGCATTAAATTAAATTTACAAAATGTAAAAATTATTCTATACATAAAAAGCATACCAAATGCAAGTAAAGTGTCTACTTTAATGTTTCAGTTGTGGAAATAAAATGTCAAAATATGGATGAAATATTGTTCCATCATCAATCAGTGTAACAGAGATATTTGAAGAACATTGGCAAAAATTCATAAAGATTTAAAATTACAATTGATCAGTTTTGGGGGACTGCACTGTGATCCTCAAATAGAGTCTTTTAATATGTCATCTAATGATTCTTGTTCTAAATATTCCAGTCACGATTTTTTGGTGTACAAACTATTGTTTGACTGAATGACATTTTATTGTGTGCCATCTGTGAATCATAGGAAAAATGTATGACAGTAATTTTTCACTCTGAAAAAAGTAAAATTAATCAAGATACATTCTAATGTACAGTAAAAATAATACTGTATTAAACTTGAATTGTTTTTCAAAATCTGATGACCATCTTATAACCGATGGCGTCACTGCAGTTTTGTAAATTGTGACCTTTTCTTTCTTGCGTCTGTTGAACCATATATTCGCCTTTGCATTCGTGTTTGTATTGATTCTGACAAAAACACTTTAATGACAAAAGCAAATTATGTAGCACTTCATTTGTGTACTGTAGAACCAAATCCTTTCCCAGCCTGGTAAGCACTGAAATTGCATATCTAGTTAAGCCCAACCAGATTGTATGGTACAGAGCCAAGAATACTGCAAAATAACTTTGTATCTGCATTCACACATTTGCATTGATCCTATGAGTGTGAATAATCCCAGCTTGCTGTTCTGTTCCGTCTGAATAGATGTTTTTCACTGAAGCTTCATGACAGGTTTAAAGGGAGACCTGGAGGCCTTCAACTGAACTGAAGGTGTCAGAGGTCTAAACCGGAGCAAGCATTTAGCATTTTACAGTCCTGTCTATCATGATTACGATTGAGAGCGGATGTGATTTATGGTGGTATTCAGGCATTAGGACATCTTCAACTTACCTGACCTCTGAACAGCGGTAGTCTAGACATCCTCTTATAAATATTGAGCAGACGCTTTTAGTTACAGTGTGGAGAGCAGCCTCTAAATTGCATAGTGCATTTGAGAGTGTCGCTATGCAGGACTGGCTGCTTCATTGAGGTCATGTATTGATTCTTTAATGTAGCTGACATTAATTTTTGATTCAGCGCTTTAGTTATTTTTCTCATAATCAAGGACGAGTTGAACGAAGGCATTTTTTTTCATATGCGCTATAGTTAAAGTGCTTGGTGTTTTGAGGAGATGCCTTGAAAAATCTAAGTAATAGCTGCATGTCTATTTGCCCTGGGTCAATGACATGATAATCATTTTTTGCCCGGATCTGCAACCAACATGAATGCAAGTACATCTCTAAGACCTTGTGTATTAAACTAGATTGTACACGTTTTTTCCTCTTGTTTGTCATTGACCCCCTAATGTTCATTCTGTACTTGCACCATAAACAATAAAGAATGGTCAGGAGAACACTTTTATTTCTAAATAACAATCCTTTTAATATGATTTGGAAGTTGTTTAGCTGATGGCTTAGCCAGCCAATGGCCTAAATTAGACTGATTAACTTGCAAGCGTTTAAAAGGGGAGTGTGTGGAAAAGGTGTCTCAATCCTTTCACCCAGAGTAAATGCATCTTTCTTAAGGGTGTTCCCCCTTTTAATTATCTAAATGTAAATACTTAACGAATTTTACTCCGAGTAATGAGCTAAAGTGCGCACTACCTAAATTAGTTATTCTAATTAATCATGTATGAACCACTTCTTTAACGAAAAGCTGTTTAAATTCTACTGGCGCTGGGCAGGTGCCAAATTACAAATCGGCATTTGCATTCATAGATGACTTCACCTATTAAGCCGTTCAAGTCCTCCACAGCACTACAAACAGTATGGATGGTGTTTTTCCCATGCTTTCAAGAGCGGCAGCTTTGAACTTGCTTCAAAAATTGCTGATTGCTGCTCCAGAGAGCTTCAAACGAATGCAGTTGAACTGATGTGCTTCTTCTGCGGAGTAACGTCAAAGAGCATTTCTGTCACTGTGCTGAGAGTATATAACGATTTTATAAAGAGGGTCAATCTCTAGGATGTTTTTGGAGTTTAAGTGAGGATGTGATGCCGGAATTGTATATTCAGAAATTATTTATTAGTGTAGCTGTTGAGTCTCAGCAGCAGGTTCTAAAGACTTTAGAGTAATTTAGTTTTGCATAATGCATTTTACACCTACATCCTCACTCAGAATAAAAGCTGTGTCCTCAGCTCAAAATTTTCTTTCTCCACAGGCATGTAACGAGTTCACTACCCACGTCATGAATTTGTTGAGGGAGCAGTCTCGCACACGGCCCATCTCGCCTAAAGAGATCGAGCGCATGGTCAGCATCATCCATCGCAAATTCAGCTCCATCCAAATGCAGCTTAAACAGAGCACCTGTGAGGCCGTCATGATCTTGAGGTCCCGCTTCCTCGATGCCAGGTTAGTATCAGTGTGTGATCTGTCCACATAAATTATTAGGGCTGGGACGATACGCTAATCTGCCGATTCAATACTATATCCCGATACTTGTGTGCCGATTCAATATATATTGCGATAACTGAGTATTGCGATTGTATGAGTATTGCGATTGTATAAGTTTTGCGATTCGATATTACAATTTGTTATAATTTTAATTTGCTTATTAAAGACTAGACAATGGAAAATACTTGACCATACCCTTAAAGAGACTGTATATGATGAGTCATATTAAAAACAATGCATCACATCTTTCTGAACTTTTATTTCAGGAGCATACACATACACAGTGTATATTTTAAAGTACCTTGAACCACGAAACTTTCAAGTAGCCTACCAAAACCCTGAACTTGCACATGAATATAATAGTCAAATGTTCAACAAAATGAGTAGAAAAAAAATATTTCTGAAATAAAATAAAGTGCTATGTTACTTTGCAGACCGTTTTAGTCATGTTTAGTCATGTTTTCCCAGCAGTGTGTAAAATCCAAAGTGTATTACTTGGGATTCAAAACGTGAAGGTGCAGAAAGAATTCTCAAAGAGGTTTGATCCTCTCCCTCCGCCATGGTTTTGCTTTCTCGCGCCGGCTTGAAACATATACGACGTCATCTAATACAGCAGCGCTGAGCACTCAGCCGATTGTTGTATGACAAAACACCGCAAGAGCTAGAGAGAGCAGACGGCTCCAAATGCTTACGAATGGCTTTCGCGGTACTTTGATGTCATACGCCGATCGGTCTGCACGCTGCTGCTTCAAGGTGAACACACCTATACATTTCGCCCTCTGTTGGAATAAAAGTGGTTCTCCCCACCCCCTCTAAGGAAAAGTAAAATAATTAAATATAAATGGATTCTGAGATAAACCAATCGATTTTTTAATCGTTTTAAAAAGAATCGCAATTGTTAGGTGAATCGATTTTTTCTCCCACCCCTATAAATTATAGTATGTGTATTTACATATGAGTTGTATCAGTTGTATTTGAAAGAATTAATCTTCTGCCATTAATCTATGCAAGAAAATAATGATTAGAGAATAAGATTTCAAGGCAACCATCAAATATAATGGCCCCAGAAGGTGTGGTCACATTTATGAATCAAGTCATATCAATAGAAATCCGCTCAATCCGATATTTCATGTATGGGCGTTAAAGTTGGTCACATAGTTTTGCATTGTTTTCCATGAACATATTGTTCAAAACGAGGACAAAAGATTAATTATTCCACTAAAAGTTTGTTTTACGGTAATGAAGTTATGCCACTTGGATGCCACTTGGTTTGATATGTTATCTATACAGTGGAATTCAGACGTTTTTTAAGTGTGACTTAAGGTTGTTCAAATACTTAGTTACTTGAAGTAGGAACCATTTTAAGTTCCATTTTGAGTTTATTTGACCTTTAACCTATCCAGTCAGGGTTTAGGCACAGCCACTGATGGTATGGCACCTGTCATCAACCAACCACAATAAAGCATTCATTATTATTCAGCCATTAGCAGTTAAGATCGTCTTGCCAAGACTAGGGTTTTAGAGCCTAAAGGCCAACCACTGAACGCAGTCATACTAAGCACCTGAAAGCGGTTAAGAGTTTTATAGAGTGGAAATGAAGTCATTTGCGTTTTGTGGGTAGGAGGTCATCAGCAGGTGGTCCAGATTACTCTAATCACAAACAGTTGGTAGAGGAGATCTGGAGAGGCGTAGAGGGGAGAGAAATTATGCAGTGAACATGAGAAAAGAGCGGATGACATCTCGAGGAGAATGCTCAAGTGAAGCGGAAGCACAATCGTTTGGCCGGCCACTTGTGTGAAAGGCATTAAACAAGGCGAGAGAAAGAAGCCAGCGCTTAACCGTGGCGGGGTGGGCCGCAGTGAGTGGCGGTAAGTGCAACTCCATCAGGCCCTGCCCCAGTACTTGAGGAACAGTGTTCAGCTGGCCATGGCCTGATTTCCCTAATGTCCCAAGATACAGCTCTGACTGGGAATGCTTGAGCACCTCTAAACGCCCCACATCAGAGTGAACGAAAGCGCGATAGAGGGAGAAAGAGAGAGGGAAAGCTTGCCGCTCTAAACACTGAACATTTCACGCTTCACTTAGAGCTCAACCGATAATGTAACATCGTCCATTTGTGTGTCTACATATGAATTCTGATAATAGCCTTCCCGACTTCATTTCCTGCCAGGAGCTGTATTATGACCATCACACATGGTTTTATTTGAGTTTCTCTAATTGCCTTCCTCCTCTTATTTTTCCTCCCGCTTGTCCGACGGCAGACGGAAACGGCGGAACTTCAGCAAGCAGGCAACCGAGATCCTGAATGAGTATTTTTACTCGCATCTTAGTAACCCTTACCCCAGCGAAGAGGCCAAAGAGGAGCTGGCTAAGAAGTGCAGCATAACAGTATCCCAGGTGAGGCCACACCTCCCATCCATGTAGCACATGCCCCGTTTGTTGGATAGTCTGGAAAGAATGACTAACAACAGGTCAAAGTCTGAAGACTTAAAGTTCCCGTGCTCAGGGTTTACTTAGGTAAATCCAATGCCATCCCTGCTCTGTCCCATTTAAACTGATCTTAGCTGATTTAAGCTAGTCTTCAGCTGGTCAAACTCGGGGATCTTCAACCCTGCTCTTGGAGGCAAACTGTTCTTCAGAGTTTAGTTCCAACCTGCTCCAACACATCTACCTCCCTGTTGAACAAAAAAACAGCATATGCTTGTTAGGCATGTTTTGAAGAATGGCTGCTGGTTTGAGCTGGTTTAAGCTGATCCTTAGCTGGTCGTGTGCTGGTTTAAGCTGGTCCTTAGCTGGTCATGTGCTGGTCCTAAGCAACTAGTTCCTGCTCAAGACCTGCTTTGGGCCAGCACTTGACCTGCTTAAACTAGCTCATGACCAGCTAAGGACCAGCTTAAACCAGCTCAAACCAGCAGTCATGCTTCAAAACATACCTAACCAGCATATGCTGTTTTTTTTAACAGGGATGATGAACAGATTTCATTTAAATGATCACAGAATTTTCATTTTAGGGCAATCTAACCCTTTCTATATGATCTTAAAGATTTATATGCTCTCAAATGCATTGATCCTCTCACATCGAGCCAACAGACTGAAAATCATGTGCTGGTCCTAAGCTGGTCCTGAGCAGGAGCTAGTTGCTTAGGACCAGCACATGACCAGCTAAGAACCCGTTTAAACCAGCTCAAACCAGCAGCTATGCTTCAAAACATACCTAACAAGCATATGCTGTTTTTTTCAGCAGGGCTCAAAGTGATCCTGAAGACCTTGATTAGGTGCTTCAGGTCTGCTTCATTAAAGGGGTCATATGATGTTGCTAAAAAGAACATATCTCTTTGGATTTGAGACTTTAGTCTTTGCAACTTTACAGATCTTCTTTATGCACCAAGAGATTGTAACACTCCAAAGAGAAAGAAAAAATTGAAATCGCATCATATGACCCCTTTAAGGTTGGAGATAAACTCTGCAGGACAGGAGTCGCCGGGAGCAGAGTTGAAGACTCCTCCTCTAGCTGGTTTAGAGGGTTGCCCAGTTGGTCTCCTAGCCTGATCAGCTTAAAAATGCCCAAGAACACTTTAAAACAGGGGTCTCCAAACTCGGTCCTGGAGGGCCGGTGTCCTTCAGAGTTTAGCTTCAACTTGCCTCAACACACCTACCTGGATGTTAGTAGCATGCAGAGTAAGACCTTGATTAGCTGGTTCAGGTGTGTTTAATTAGGGTTGGAGCTAAACTCTGCAGGACACCGGCTCTCCAGGAGTGAGTTTGGAAACCCCTGCTCTAAAACCAGTCAACAGACCAACCTGAAAGACCATCAAACCATCTTAGACTGGTTTAAGCTATTTTTTCAGCAGGGTAATACCATAATCTAGGCTAACAGTGGCTAATTGGCTATGCTAGGTCACACAAAGGCCCTGTCTTAAATGGTGTACTTAATGTTAACTTACGGTCTGGTGACCTTCGCTCATATGGTGTCCAGCTTGTCATTTTTGGTTTCCAAACCTTCCCAAGCAGCCCATTTGAAGCCACTATGCATCCTCGAATGTTACCCAGTAGTCCGTGTGGCAAAGCATATACTCTGAAGAGGATCGCTAGGGCTGAGGGTGCCATTTGGGACAGGGCCATGCTTGATCAGACCAGAAAGACTCTCCAGCGTGCTCTCTCTCATTGTCCTCTTCTTTCCTCTCGTCACTGTCTAGCATGCATACCTGTTTGCTCTAACACATCAGTCTGATAATTCCACTGAGCTGAGTCTCAAGCAGGGCCTGAAGACACAGAGTGTACCCTGTTGTGGATGGATGCCACAGTTTGTGGTGATCTGCGTCAGTCATTGTGTTTTAGAGTAAATGTGTGCGCACATGCGAGTGTATGTGTGTCGGAGAGAAAGAAGAGGGACTTTATTTTAGTCGCAAAGTATGATTCATTATTGCACAAAATTGAAAAGAATCACAGTGTTTTCCCACTCTAATAATTAAATTCAGAATCCACCTGAAGGCAAGAGTACCCACCCACACCCAACTCCCCACAGACAAAACTCTTTTCTGTTTTTTTTTTTTTTTAATCGGTCACAGAGGGGGTCAAGGAAAATGTGTACTGTTAACCTATTGGTCTTAGAGCATATCTGCGTACTCTGTGATGTAATAAATGTTTTTTCTCTGTGGGGAGGGGCTTATGGAGGGTTGTTCAGAGTCAGATCCTGTAAAAGCCATTCTTTTTTGCCTTCAGGGGGTGGGAACCACCATCACAGTGGCACAGGTATGTCATGACTTCTCCTGCTCCACTTTTCTTGTGCCATTTGTTTTTCTTTGTTGCTTTTCCTTTATTCTGTCACCCCTTTATGTGTGTTCACTTATACCTTAGAACATGTTAAGACATACTCAGCACTTAGTTCCCCCCAAAAGTCTACCTTTCCTGCACTTACTGTAGTGCCAACAAATCTGCAAACTTAAGCAAGTGTCGAATGGGACTATATTTGGAGTGCTCAGTAATCAAACCAAGTATCAGATACTATGTTTTGTTGTACACTCCCTCCACTCTTCCCTAGAGAATTTCACTTGATTGTCAAAGCGCTAAAAGTATGTGTCCCTTTTGATTGTGTTATGTCTTGTCATTGCACATTTTGACATGCCTGTGATAGATATTTACCCCACATTGTATTTAATCAGTGTGTTCTGTGTATGTTCAGGAACTATTTTTATTTAGAAATATATTTTATTAAATTAATTTGTATCTTGGAATATTTTGTTCTTAAATGTATTGTTTGCTATATTATAGCAATGGGGTTTAAAAAATAGATACAGTTTTGTAGTGTAAACAAATAACAGATAGTAATATTCTTTTCTACCAGTTATTTACATTCTTAAGGTGGTAGCAAGATTTGTCCACTCTTATTGTAACAGATTCTAGCACACATAGATCCCAGAGGCTGCCTGCTTTGCCATTTTTCATGTATCTGAGATATGTGCAGATTTGAAGTGATGTGTGGTGTTAATGGTATTGTTGATGAAATGTAGTCGCCTTTATCAGGCACCACTTCACTCAGTGCACAGAATCAACCTCATTATCTGGGCACAATTTCTGTGCATGTGTGATTCTTCTAAATGAGGCACACAAGGTCACATGATGTTTTTTTGAGAGAGAGTTTTCATAACCACTATGATTTTAAGCATTGTGTCTAGAGGGGATATTGTGCACCCTGCAAAATGTGTCCATCACCCAATTAAGTGCGGTTCTTCCGCTTCGATCTTCCTGCGGTTCAAACGAGCGACACTTATCAATATTTCAGCTCATTATACATGTAGCAGAGCTCTGCCTCAGGTTAATGTGTTAACTATTAATGCAGACTGCTTCATTATTGATAATATCAGCAGCCCTGGACACTGCAACCGCCCATGACAGGGAGTTCGTGTGTGTGTGTGTGTGTGTGTGTGTGTGTGTGTGATCATGCCAGACGTCTGAGTCTCCATTTAAGCTCCACTCTCAGCAAGAGAAGCAGTATAAATTGAGGTATATTTGTATAAAAGGAATTGTATAAAAAAGGTATTGAGACCTGGGTAAGATCATCCATCCCATTTCAGTGACACTAGTGGCGTATTGACCCAAGCTTGGGGAGGGAGTAGTGGTGAATTATTTACTACACCCACACAGGCTTTCCTCTCCATTGGTTTAAAGCAAACAAACCAGGTATTGTGTTCCAGACATAGAAGTCTACTGCATCTCTGGTATGTTCTCGCATAAATATGAAACCCAAATATGTGAGGTAGATTTGTTTTAAAATATTAGTATTTAAAAATATTTGACAACAAAGTCAGTGTGGTGTAATCAACATGCAGGAAGTAATTGGTTGTCATATGTTGTCATATGAACATGAAACTATATCACAGAATAGGGTCATTTTTTTCATATTGAAACCAATATGAATAAAAAGATTGCATTCAATACTTTTTGTACGACATTTTTTAAAGATTTCCTTTTTTCATCATCTTTATCTTTCATCCTTATTTGATATTGACTCATACAGCTAGAGAACAATCATTTAAATGAGTTATATGTCCCCCCCCCCTTTTTTTGTTTTGTTAAAATATAAAACATTAGGGTTAGGAACAGCTAAGTTTAAGGTATTTAATCTTTAGAAGGAGGTTAGCTTAGAGACTCTGTGTTCCTCTTTTCCATGGCCTTAAACTGCTTCAAGAGCAGGTTAAGTAAAAAGGATGACGGCTAGTGCTTTCATTGCTTCCAATTAAACCTTGCTTGTTAGTTTAACCTCTAGGTAAACCCATCAAACAATTGATGTTAAGGCAAAAGCCTGCCAACGGTGGTGGCTTCAGCCGAATGGTCATTAATTTTAATTGCCTAGATATTAAAGATTTAGAAGCGCAGAGGCATGGTGGGGGTAGAAATGATCTGATGTCATGTAAATTCAGCCGCTGTAGCGTAGTGTGGCTCGGGCTGCTGGAGATATTAAAATGGAAGCAGAGAGGTGGAAATTAAATAAAGCATCATTAAGGGGCTGAGGCTCTCTGGTCCTCCAGTCCAGCCAGAGCCGGAATACGGCAGGAGAGATCGCCACGGCGACAGGCCACCGTAATTTATAGGGCTATTAAGAAACAACCCTTAATCTCTTTATTATTCCACAATTATGCAGTGCTAGCATTTGCACATCTACCACACCCCATGTGACCCAGATCTTATTGTTTCCTGGCTGCTGTTTTTAGTAAAATTAGCATTATTGTAATTATTAATGTATTGCGTTGAGGAGGTGTGGCTGCTTTTAGGTGTACTATCTGAGTTGTGGTTATTATTATGTCTATTATTTGTCTTAAGGCAGGAGCACAAAAGTGGTTTTATGCAAAAGAAAAGAACATTAGTGTTATTAAGATGCATAAAAGCCTTGCCTTTGAAATGAAGGGACCCAAATGGATCCAAGTTACCTTAAAGAAAGGTAGTGAAAGTAAAAACAGAAGAAAGAGTTATGTTAAAACTCTTATTGAGAATGTATCTATTTATTAAATGGGACCAGGGATCAGAACAAATACTTTTTAGCAAGATCTCTGTTAGCCTTACAAGGAACTATACCACCTTCACGTTTGGCACTAGCTACCTAATCCCATAAGAACAACACTGATCCAAATTTTGCCACAAGACGAGCAGCCCCTTGTGTGTTGGTTTTGTCTAGAGACAAAGAGAGCATGTCACGCCTCCATCCGCAATAACGCACAAGTCCTGTCTCATAATCGCTTAATTAGTCTTCATGCCCAGCGGACATTACTGTGGGAGGCTGGGAACTGCAGACTTGATGGACCCAAACATGACATCTTGAAACAATCACTCTGTTCAGTGCACAGTGCCTCGTCTGCATTGACGTCTGACGTCCCCTCCTCTTTTTTTCCCCTCTTTCCTTTTCTTTCCGTTTCTCCCTCAGGTATCCAACTGGTTCGGCAACAAGAGGATCCGCTACAAAAAAAACATTGGCAAGTTCCAAGAGGAGGCCAACCTGTATGCCGCTAAGACAGCCGTGACTGCCGCACACGCAGTAGCTGCCGCCGTCCAGAATAGTCAGACCAACTCACCCACCACACCCAACTCCGGTAAGCTTGCACTCATCCCGGACGAGCCCCCAAAAACCAACCAGCCATCCCCAACTCCAGGTTTGTCCCTTCTGAACCTCTGCTCCCTCTGGCATGCTGGTTGGCTGCTGTGACAGTGAGAGGTCCCAGCCTGGGGGATGAGCCTAACTCTCCTGCCTCTGAGACTATACATGCTGAACGAGACGAGCAAAGTCAAGCAGAAACTGTGTGAGCGGGTTGCACATGCTGAATATGTTTGTAGTTTTGAGGGGTGGGAGGGTGTTGGTGCTGGTGGGGGTAAAAGAGATAATCCTTACCCACTGTCCTCCCTTTCTATCCATAAATATGTGACAGTGTTACCCCCGCTGTGAATTGATGGAAATCTCTTGCTCAGAGCATGTTACACTCTTGAAGAAATGTGTAATATGAAATAATAATGAATATTTGATTAGTAGAATGATACAGTGTTTACCTTAAATTGATGCTCTTCAGACATAATAAGCAGAAGATTTGACTGTGATAAAGACATAGCTTAGACCCTGAGGAGTTGTGGGTAAGCAATTTTTAAGGGGTCCCCTTTTTCTTGCACCCAGGATTCCAGATGAAAGATGAAGAATTTCAGCTGGACTCTGCAGAGAACAAAAACACTCTATTAACCAACATGTTCACTGGTACTGGCCTTTTCCATAAGCTTCTTATTGTCCTTCTTGTCATTGGCATATAATTCCACTTATGAACTAGTCCACTAGAGTAGGAATAGGTGTGAACTCCTGTGGAAAACTTAGACCTCCAACTCCATACACCATCTTTGTCCTTTTTTTGTGATTTCCCCCCTTTGTTTTGGCATTTTTGGAGACCCCCACGTGCCCTTCTAGATATGTAATGCAACCTAGCCGTCATCCCCATCCCTATCCTTTCATTTCTTCCTTGTTTCTTTTGCTCTCCATTTGTTGCTTGCTTTACGAGCATCACTTCTAGCGTGGCGTGTGATGCGCGTATGTCCTCGCACATATAGCCTCTCTTTCTCTTTCTCATCCTCTCGTTATTCAGCTCCTTACATCTTTCCTTTCTAGGTTCGTCAGGTTCTTTTAACCTCCCAAACTCGGGGGATATGTTCATGAGCATGCAGAATCTGAATGGGGATTCTTACCAAGGGGCACATGTTGGAGCCAATGTGCAGTCACAGGTAGGCGCTACGCACAGGAACTGGGGCTGTGAACCAGAGCAGACCTGTCAGCTAGCCTACCATCCACATTAAAAACTCAATTCCCCCCCTCAACATATAGACCGTGATACAGATTTGATCACCCCCTCAACAATTAGCTTCATTATAGTCATGGAAGATTAATGATGACAATATTCTGGACATGGATGGATCCTTCACATTTCCAGTCTGGACCCCCAAATAAATTACCATATCACAGCCCATAAGAGGCCCGTCTGACTAGAGACTCATTATTTACAGCATTATGCTAGTATATTGATCCTGGAGCAGACCCCATTTTGTAGTTGATGTTGTGAATGCATTTGGCTCTGACTTGAGCTCTTGGGTTGGTATTGGTTGTATGGTACTGTTCTTTCCTCCAAACCTCTATATCCTTTTCTCTCCCTTTTTATCATGATTATCCCAATTTTCCATGTTCACATAAGCTAATTTCATCCTCATGTTAAAAGACACCATTTGAAGGAGAGAGACGAAGAGTTAATGTGTACTGAACATTTCTCAAATCTGCTCATGCTCTGATAATGTGTTACAACTGTTGTCATGTGTGAATATTACCATGTTTTGTAGTAAATTCCAAATCAAAACTATTCCATTCCTTTCTGTGATTTTGTGTTTCGAGCCTGGAAATAGAGTAATCGTTGCCAGAAAGCAATAGAGAGAGGAAATGCATATGTTGTCCTAAATGTTGCATTAAACCACATATGTATCCCTAACTTCATTCAGCTGCATATTCCATTATAGTACGATCCATTTAGTAAAACGCAAAGCCATCACATTTTTTGTTTAAACACCATTGCCTTTGTCTGTTGTCACCATACATCACTGTGTTGATGTTTGCATGTGTTTCTGTAACGCAGAATGTTGACAAGCTTGACTTCCTGTTGTGTCCTCTGCAGGTGGATACCCTGCGCCATGTTATCAGTCAGACGGCAGGATACAATGATGCCCTGGGGGGGAATCCCATGTATAGTCCACATGGCTTGAATGTAAGTACAGTCTCAGTCAGCCATGACTGAAGTGACACCGAATTAAGCAATAATAAAGATACTACACTCATCCTAACATTATAGAGATAATCTATAACTCAAGCCTTTTCGAATGAAAATTGTAATACATTACCATTCAAGAGTTTGAGGTCTCTTTTTTTAATGTTTTGAAAGAAGTCTCTTATGCCGAGTTCACACTGCACGATTTTCAAAGACGTTGCGCCTCAACACACCTGCTGGTAAGTTTCTAGTATGCCTATAAGAGCTTGATTAGCTGGTTCAGGTGTGTTTAATTGGGGTTGGAGCTAAACTCTGCAGGACACCGGCCCTCCAGGACCGAGTTTGGGCACCCCTGATATAATGCGTCCTTGTTGAATAAAAGTATTAATTTGTTGTTAAGAATTTGCTTTATTTAACAAAATTATGTGCCATGGGCACATAAACACCAACATTTTAAGTTAACATTTACTAAGAAATGATGTTGTGAAAATCTGTAATGTGCAAATACTAGTGTTGGACAACCATTCAAATGTTTAATTGCGATTAATCACACGATTTTTACGATTGATCTCGATTAATCACATTATGCACAAAATTCAATAATGAATTAAAAAGTAGTGTATTGCGCACTTTTTCCATTTAAAAGTACTGCAATATGAACAAAAGTGCAATAACATTTTGTTTGCAAACACTTTAAACAAATAAGGTGCTTTTTTCCCGCAGTATTCCTTTTACATAGCTTAGTAGCAGTTAAAATATTTCTTGTAAATCTCAAATTAAACATTAATGTAATCAAATTAAATATAAAACCAAAGCTGTCTGTCACTGCCAGGGCATTAGCGTTTTTATAGAAAATATTTTATGGTTTGTTATAGAAAAATAAGTTATGCTCAGAGTCCAGAGCCTCGATCATAACATTATAACAGGCACCTTCCTTGTAGAGACCTGCACTTCCGCGGGATTATCGCGGGACCCAACGCAACAGAGTGTGGTGCGGGACAACACCTGACGGATGAGTGCGGATGCGGGCAGGTCGAGACTCGTGTGTGTGCGGGATGCAGGAGAATAAGGGTGTACTCACTCACACGAGCGAGTTTGACTAGTGTGATTGCTCCGTGCCGCGCTCGGGCGTGGTTCGTTTAGCCGTCCCTGGCTTGGTTGGAAGAGGTGGGCCAGAGTGCGGTTCAGTTGGGCTCGGGCACGGTACGCATGTAGTGTGTTGTAATAGAAAAACAAGTTATGCTCAGAGTCCAGAGCCTCGATCATAACATTATAACAGGCACCTTCCTTGTAGAGACCTGCACTTCCGCGGGATTATCGCGGGACCCAACGCAACAGAGTGTGGTGCGGGACAACACCTGACGGATGAGTGCGGATGCGGGCAGGTCGAGACTCGTGTGTGTGCGGGATGCAGGAGAATAAGGGTGTACTCACTCACACGAGCGAGTTTGACTAGTGTGATTGCTCCGTGCCGCGCTCGGGCGTGGTTCGTTTAGCCGTCCCTGGCTTGGTTGGAAGAGGTGGGCCAGAGTGCGGTTCAGTTGGGCTCGGGCACGGTACGCATGTAGTGTGAGCGCTAACCGCGCCGGAGCGCAGAACTTCTGATACGTGCAGCATGATTGCACCCCTCCTGTGACCCATAGTTTGTCTACATGTGTATTCCGAGCCAATGAGCAACGGACTTCATAATAATAATAAATAAATAAATACACTGCGTTAATGCGCGATAAAATAAAATAAAGTATCACGATAATATCACGTTAACCTGCCCAGCCCTAGCAAATACATATAGTTATTATAACATAAATCAGAAGGACCTGAGTCATAAGCAGGTCCCATCCCCAGCAAGGAATCACCATAAATCCAAACTCACGGTAAACAGAGTGATGATTCAGAGGATGACAGGAGTATCTGTCCTATAATATGCATAACGCGGGAAAATATGACAATTTTTTAAAGCGGGAATAAATGCTTTGCTCAGTAAAAGCTCAAGCGGCTCAAGTATTTGGGAGTGGTGTGAGGAAAATTAAATTTAGAAATTCAGAAATATTAAGTCAGTTTGTTGCCTGTGTAAACAGTTCCTATTACAGTAACCTATAACGTGGTAAGATGAAAAGGCTTTTACTAGCACGTCTTGCCTCTGTTTGTCTGTTTTGCAATGCTTCAAAGAATTTGCAATATCCTTATCAACATGATGAAATATGAAAGTATGATTGCCTGCAGCCGTCTGCAGGCATGAATTTTATCTTCCTTGATGAGGTTTGATATGATGTTTATTTTTTCCAACCATACACTGCGTAATATGAAACCATCAGAGTAAAGACTCATTTATTTGATGAAAGAGAGAGAGGGTGAGAGAAATACAGACATATATCTTCCTTGAGCTGAACACAGGTTTAGATGGTATATCTGTTACCTTGCTTGTCGAGGAATTGTTTATAAAAACATTTAGCTTTAAACATTAATCTAAAAAATAACTGCTGAATGACAAAACTCTGGCTGGTGAGTTGTTAAAAAAGGAACATTTATAGTTTATGAAAGACAATTGAGCATTTTCTGGATTTGTGATATTATCAAATGAGCCAGTAAAATGTGTTTTAAGGATTATTACATATTCCTGATACAAAACCGCTTATTTATCGGTCCAAATGGCCCTTGTACATTATCAAAAAAGACAAATGAGCTTTCCTAAAGCAAAACAAATCACTTTCTATTGAGAAACAGATGCAATCAGATGGAGGAATAATTTGCAGTGAGGTAATTAATAGAGCAGAGCTGTCATATGTGTACTTTCTGATGACTGTTAGAGCTCCATTTGCATGAATTAACTCTAGCAAAGCACACAACGATAAATGTCATAAGTCAAAACGTATGCCTGATTTTTCACAGCAGTGGGGCCCAAACGTGGCAGTGTATCTGTGGCTAATGCGGAGAGGGCTGTGTGTGTGTGTGTGTTTGTGTACAGGCCTCTGTGGCCTGTAGCTGTGCAGATGAAGTGTCAGCCTCTCGCAGGCTCAAACGCCACACTTTCACACTCTCTCACTCTGGTCCACTGCTCAAGTCAGAACTCTTCCTCATAACGCTCGCGTTTCAGCATCAGTCCAGACATTGTGGCTGGAGGAGACTAGCACAATCTATTTATTGACCTGTTCCAGGAACTCGAAATCAGCAAAATCCTAATTCCGCCACTGAACGGGTCCCCGTACACACACACAGGCGCAAACATCTCCCAATGATTTTTATATAGAAACACAGACAGATTGTTTTGATAACCAAACACCTCATTAGCAAATCAGCATACGGCAGTAGTTCTCAACTAGTATTGCTTCAGGATCCAGATTTCACATGAAGTGACAATTCCTTCAGATGTTCATTGTACAAAAAAGTTAAATAAAATTAAGCATAGTTTATTATTATTATTATTATTATTGTATAATATTATTGTAATATATAACAGTGATTCACCATGTTTACTATTTGTATAATTATTTGTATAATTTTGTTATGAAGCCAATGGTTCGCCATGTTCACCATGCTCATCATTTAATTTATTAGTATATATTATTAATATATATAATGTGTTTGTTTGTTTGTTTGTTTGTTGACTGTTTATTATTATTATTAATATTATTATATTTTATTATGTTAAGCAATGATTCACCATATTTATTTTTTAATAAATTATATTTTACTTATTATTAAGCCATTGATTCACCATATTTATCCTTTTTAGTTATATTTAATGTATTCTGACATTTTCCTTTACCTTATAAAGTTTTCTTTGTGGTTTTCAAGAATGAGGGCATTTCCTCAGGTTGGATTCTGCCTAATTTTACAAACATCTACTGAATAATTAAACATTTAATACTGTAGTTTTTGATTGAATTCACTGCTTTTGGGACCAAATATTTTTACATGTGACCCTGGACCACAAAACCAGTCTTAAATCGCTGGGGTATATTTGTAGCAATAGCCAAAAATAAATTGCATGGGTCAAAATTATTGATTTTTCTTTTAGTAAAGATCATGTTCCATGAAGATATTTTGTAAAATTAAATACTGCAGTGTTTGATTGCATGCAATTATTTTGATGCCAAATATTTTTTAAATAGTCACCAAAAAATTTGTTTGTTTTTCTGCGGTCGATGACCCTTATCCATTTGTTGTGGTGATATGGAGAGTGAGGGATAGACTTACTGTAGGTGGGGGATTGAACTGAGGAAAGATATCCAGCTAAAGCTATTCTCCAATGAGAGCCGAGAGATTGAGTCGGGAGCGCTCAGGCGAGCAGGCCTGCACCGTCACTTCCACTCAGCATCCCCCTCCCCGCCCCGGCCTCCCTCCCCTTGACTGACATCAAAATATGGAGCGACAAGCTGTCGGCCCACCGCTGAAATCTGATTAGACATTGATTTCAGCAATCGTTCCCATTGGCCACAACGTTTATGTGAATTTGTTTTCTGAGAGCGAGGGAAGCAGGGACCGAGAGAGGGAGAAGCCGAAGTGGGTTTAGCATGGCAAGATGGCCGTCGGCATGTCAGACAGTAGATCAGAGGAGACAGGCTCTCTTATTAATTTCTTAATGCATTAGTATGCATATGTATGCATGCTTCACTCACATGCACACTACACACCAGGATTAGGACTCACACTTCACTGCAAGCAGACAAATAAACACCCGCACTTCCTGTGAATTTTTGAATACTAGGAAACATTATCTGTATTTGTTTTACATAATTCTATATTATATATGAATATATAAATATTTATGTTATGAATATGAATATATATATATATATATATGTGTGTGTGTGTGTGCTCATTTTTTGTGGAAACAGTGATGCATTTGTTCAGGATTCTTTAATGAATATAAAGTTCATTGAGCAGCATTTATTTGATAAAATAAAATAAAATACTTTTTTGTAACATAAATGTCTTCACTGTCACTTTTGATCAACTTAATGCATCCTTGCTAATTAAGTATTTATTTCTTAATTTATTTCGTTTAAGTTGTACTTTTGAATGGTAGTGTATCACAGTTTCCATTAAAAAACAAAAAAGCTGAAAAAAGTGTTTTCAACATTCATAAAAATATGGAGCATAAAATAAAGTGCATAAGAGACTTCTTACAAAAAAAAAATACTTAAAACAAATCTCTTTTGCCCACCATTCATTGTTTCATTTTTCTTTTTCTTTTTTTTTCACTGTGAAATGAATTACAATTTTTTTTTTCTGTTTTGTTTTCAGGGTAATAGGGGATGGCATGATGCTGCAACTCCATCCTCTGTGATCTCCCCTACAGAAGGCCCTGGTAGTGTGCACTCTGATACCTCGAACTGATCTCCTCATTGACATGGTCCCTTCCCAAGCTGTGGACAACCAATCACAGAATTACAAAACCACAGACTGACCAATCAGAGACACAGAATAGACTCTCACAGATAATCCAGAAACATCCTCATGGAATCATCCACAGTACTTTTCCACAGTGTTTTCGAAGCTGGACATTTCTTAGCCGTAACATCAGTCCACTGCAGTTTTTACTAACAAGCTCTCCTCCAATCATATTAAACCAGTATGTTTTGTTTCTTTTATCATTTGAAGTGTACAAGCTCAAAATGTATGTGAGTTATTAGGGTTTTTCCTCTTCTTTTGAATTTATTACCGGTCATAACCCCTTTCCATTGTTCTAACCAACTGTTGGCAAAGCTTTAGTGCAGGAATACAACTGATACAAAAGTATATTCATACAATGCTAACCGATGCATTTAACAGGGCTAAATGCTACAGAAGGCAGCTTGGGGACTTCATTGCTGATATTCTTTTGAGTTTTTATTAATATCACACCTAGCAATGACTTAAACAAGACCACCTATGGAAGGCAATCCACTCCATTTTGGGGGGTGATTTTTTGAAATACCTGGCAATTAATGTCTTTTTTTTTTAAACACAAAACGTAATCGATATTTAGTCCACTACGATTAAGGTAGTGTGGAAGATGTGAAAAGAAAATATGGATCTTGTTGGCTCTTCTGGCAATGTTCAATTCAAAAACATTCTTGTATATGACATAGCTTGAGAGTATTTATACATGTCAAATAAATACTCCGCTTTATTACCTCATTGAAACTCATAGAAAACCAATAGATTTAAAACATTTCTTTAGCTTATAGTGCTCTCACTGACTACCTCTCAACGAAATCACCACCTGCACCCTTTTTGTCTTTTACTTTCTGTCATCCTTTTTTTGTCTTTTTAAAATACATTATTTTTACTTTTGTTAGATTCGGTTCCATCTTGTAAGAAATCTGCTCTCTGTCTCTCTCTCTCTCTCTCACTCTTTATGTAATCTAATGTATATTTTATCCTTCTAAGAAAACTAAGTTGCTTTGTTGCAACTTTTAAAAAAGGGAAAAAAATAAAAAAAATAAACATAATATTAATAATACGAATAACACGGAGAGTATGGAGAGTACAGTGGCTGGTGGATGGGGAATTTAGTGCTGGAACAGGGAGAGGGAAATATGATCATAAAATTAACACCAAACAGTATTTCGAAAAATTGACACTTATGACTGGTTTTGTGGTCCAGGGTCACAAATAGTCACAAAAAAAATTATTTGGCATTTTTTCTGTGGTCCTGTCATGACCTACTAGTTGGGACCGTTGGCATCCTCTAACCATTTGTTGTGTTGATATGGAGAGGGAGGGTTGACTTAGGTGGGGGATTTAACTGTTTTGAAGGGAAGAAATCCAGCTAAAGCTAGCCTCCACTGAGAGCCAGGCGATTGAGTCGGGAGCACTCAGGCAAGCAGGGTGGAGGAAAGGCCTGCACCGTCGCTTCCACTCAGCATCCTTCCA